TGAGTTGTGCTAAGTTCTGGACCTGGAGGCTTGACACTCATGCTGGATGCATGTGCGTGAATGCCCAATTTCCTGAGAGGAGAATGGAAGAGAAAGGATTGCCCTCTGGTCATTCCCTTGGGAGATGATTTTTTGCTTTCTGTCATCTTTTTCTGTGGTGAGTGCATGCGCCCTATGGTAAAAATCTCTCTAAAAAAGAAAAAAGTCTCAAGTATACCATAAAAGTATTTTTTACAGTATTACAGGCACATATTTAAAGGAATCCCAATGGCACAAGCAAATATATTTGCTCAACATGGGTTGTCATATATGTTATATAATGACATTTATGCATTGACTCTATTTCTTTTTTCACAGAAAAAAAAATTCATTTTGCTTAGTAAAGCAGGACAGCACTTTGAACATCAACTGAGTGTACTAAGTGGAACACTTAGTACTAATTATCAGGATTCTTTTTTTTTTGCTGCATTAACTTTTTTAAAAATTGTAAATAATAAAAGGCATTTTATGGATTTATTCCAAAAACTATTTTTGGGGTTATTTACTTGGCCAGTGTGAAATTAGTGTCATCTCTTCTATTTTCTGGATATTTAGACTATACAATGAGAATTGATTTTCTCAGTGATAGCCATGAGACCCTGCAGGAGTCTCACTGATCAAAGCAAGATTCAATTATATCTTATATTTACCAAAGGAGGAAAGTTTAAAAAAAAATACTCCACAAAGAACTCCACAAGAAAAGTTGCAGTAACCTTCAGTTACCTAGATTAACACCTAGATAATTCAGATTACCCATTACTCGACAATCTATGCAATAGGGATTAATGGTAACAAGATTTTATGCTCAGAAATATTTATTTCTATATACTCTCAATGATTTCCACATTCATTATATAGTAAGAGGTTTAAAATGAAAATACTGAGTTAAGAGAATTACATATATGGCATTTGAATCACTAGTAGTGCCAACTGAGTGAAGTAAAAGATCTAATAATGAATAAACAGAGACACCAAACAAGGAGACTGTGTTTATCTTTTCAGATTCTAAACTGTTTTGCAACAGAGGATTAAGGCAGGATGGGTGCTTCAACTAAGGGACCCACAGGATCCCTGCTAATCCTGACATCCTGCAAGTTAATTGGCCAGTCTTTGAAAAATTTAGCTTTCCAGGTATGTTCTCTGTAAATAGAAAAAACACATAAATGCAAAATGCCAGCAAAAATAAAGAATTACAGCAAGATAATAAAACTTATCACCTCCAGTTGAATTATGTTCAGTACTAAGATTATGAAAACAAAGATGTTAGCTTCTTTTCATGTGAACCCTGAATTTTTTCTTTACCCCCTAAAGAAACCTACCCTACAAAAATAATTTTACCCACTATAAAAAAAAAAAGTCCTAGTAGTATTATCTCCCTAACTTATTATAGTCTTAAGAACAAACTGTCCTAAGGTACTTGGAAGGGGAAATAAAAAGAACACTGAATCCAAGTCTTACTGGCTCTCAGTCTGTTCTTCAGTAAAGCAGTCTGCATGTGACTTATCACATCATAGTTGTTCCCAAATATAGAAAAAAAAAACATTATTCATCACCTATAAACTTATCAGGATGCTAATCACCGCAGAAGAAATTTAAGAAATTTAATAACTTGAAATTGCTTGGTCAAAGGGCCTTTCATCTCTCTACATACAGTAAAACATAGCTCTAAATATCAATAATTTATACTTTTTAAGTTTATCTTGTTTATTTCTTTCATGAGTGAGAGTGAGAGAGAGAGAGAGGGTGAGAAAGGAAGTACCTCCCATAGGGTCTTGACATTGATCCATTCCCAGCCTCTACCAGTCCCAGATCATGGCCAGGGCACAGCCGGTGTACTCCAGGCAGTACATCACCCATCCCCATCTTCTTCAACAGTTCTCCAGATATCATTAATGTCTCCCATGCTGTGCATGCTTGTACTGTTTTTTTTTTTTTTTAAACTTCCAGTTTTGTGTTTGTGTGCATGTGTCCTCTTTCAGATCATGAGTTCCTTTCAGCCTGTAGTTAACTTACCCATGTCTGTATCCTCAGAAATCAGCACGTGTTTCACACACACTGGGCATTCAGTCAATATTTCTAATATAAGCAGATTTTTTTTGGACATGTTATGATAATTAGAACAATGAGTGAGACATAGTCTTCCATCTGAGACAAACACATGAGAAACAGGAGCCCCATCAAAAAAATAAAAATTCTTTAGGCTGATGTAAAATCCTTTTCTACATAACGGTGCAGATCTTCTGACAAAACCTTAGAACAGGGGGTGGGGCTGGAGGGGAGCAGGCACAGTGACTCGGTTTTGGTTCCTAAGAAGGTAGTCAGAGAAACATGAACTCCACAGTAAAAGACACTTTATGAAACATACAGAAAAATAACTGGCACTTACGGATTTCTACCTAATTACCATTTGTCCCTTACTCTAAGAGCCTCTACTCTGGTATGTATTCATGAGTGTGTGTGTGTGTGTGTGTGTGTATGTGATGTGTGTGAGAGAGAGAGTGAGAATGTGTGTGTTTATAAGAGGTGGCAGTTATGCCCAGGGTCAGAGAGAGGCATATCTGGCCACCAGGGGTGGCATTGTAAGACATGTTGCTAGAGTCAGTGTAAAATTGGTCACCTCAAAGGCTCACCTCACACATTTGTTCAAGTTAATGTCCTACTGCTAACCAGTTATGCATTTTAGAGACCCTCTGTGCTATCCACATTCTCTACTGTCTTTACACTCCCCATAGCCAATGGGTAGACACGTCTTGCCCATTCTACTCACAAAACACTTTCATCCTTACTGCTTCAGCTTTGGTTCCCCTTAGGTTTTCCATTTCTATCAATAGCTCCCTCTTTGAACCATTAAACAAGCTCCCTCATTGACCCTCTTTCTGCCATATGTTCTCCATATGTTTAAGAAGTCTCTTTAAGTCAACTAAATGGGGAAAAAAATCATAAATGTTTGCCTCAAATCTTTCCCATTTCTTTTCTCT